AAAAAAAAACAGTAAAACTACTGTTAAGTAGGCCTGGAAACTAGTCGAATCGATCTCGAATTTTAACGAACCGAATTATAAAAAGATATATAAAAAAAAATAGCCAAAAAAAAAACAGTAAAACTACTGTTAAGTAGGCCTGGAAACTAGTCGAATCGATCTCGAATTTTAACGAACCGAATTATAAAAAGATATATAAAAAATTTCTTTTCGAGTCTTAACGAGCCTAATCGAGCAGAGTCGAATTCGGCTCTTCAACAAAATGAGCTTTAATTAAATGCGTTTGAGTTCGAGTGTAGCGGAGCCAGACTCGTTTAATTTAGCAGCACTATTATTAAATAAACTAGTACGTACCCCGTGATGCACAGGACAGAGATACTAAATGAGTTATTTTCACAACTTTTTCCGTTTAAGTCTAAAAAGTAATAGGATTATTATCTATTTTCTACCCCTTTTAATCAACGTTAAGCCAAAAAAACAATAGGATTATAAGTTTTTTTCACATCTTTTAACCTTATTTTTTTAGTCAGAACATTAAATATGAGCATGTTAGGACTATACTGTAAAATAATTAATATATTATTTCGATAAAACATTTATACTAATAAAAATTTAATTTTAGCATATAAATTTATCCCTTGATATAGAAATTTTAGCATATTGATTTTAACATATAATTTAATTTTAACAAATAATATGTGCTTTATAAAAATAATAATAATTTCACAAAATTTTAAACGTAAAACTTGGTTTTTAATCACAATAGAAAAATCATAGTAAGTTGTATTAAAAAAGTGTTATAGATAAAACAATTAAATAAAATAATTAGATAAAATACTTGATGGAAATAGAACGCATTATTAATTATCTTTGACTTTTCTTACTACTAGTTCTACTAAATAGGACGACTGTGGTAATTTTAATAAATAGGACGACTTTTTATATAAGTATAGATAAAATACATTTAGACATTCATAATTTTTTTAATACATACTTTCAAATCATAATCTATATTTTATGTTATAAAAGTATGATATTTAGACTCGACTAACGTTTAGAGTCGTAAAAAAAATTGTCTAACCTTATATTTTCTTTGATTTTTTGATAATCAAACCGCATTTACAACCTCATATTTTTCAATAAAAGGACAAGAAAGTCAATGTTTGAGTCGTCCTTATTACGTTTACTAATTAATACTAAAAAAAATGCGAAAATGATTTTATAATTAATTAACTAAATAATTGTTACCCTTTCACTCTCTCTCTCTCTCACACACACACACACACACACATTTCTTCCTAATCTTCACCTTTTAGATTTTAGTTTCCCGGAAGCAACCCTCACCATAACCCCCGCT